AAAATATATAAATAAATATTCAAAGCCCAAGGCAGATGTGAAGAGAACGAGATGGCAGTATCCAGAGCAAATTTCCTTTCTGGTCCCAGTTCTGCCACACTGTGCAGGGTAGTTAGGTAAGACGCAGCCTCTCTTGGCTGCAGGTTCCTCATCTCTGAAAAGCAGGGATTGAACTTGTTATCTTTCATGTGCTTTCTAGTTTTAGAAATGCTTTTGAAAGAGGATAAATCAGACTTTGATTATTCTGTAATAGTGTTCTCTAGATTATTGTCCTGAAAAGCAGTGATTCTATAAAAATAGTTTGAGAGAAAAGAATTTCTTAATCAAGTAAATGCTTTAATGTACTATTACCTTCTTTAAAATTACCAGTGCCCATTCATATTTTAAAGACACTGAATAATTTGGTGAGAGACAGCATAGTTTAACAGTTAAGAACATACACACAAGCTCTACTGCCTGGTTTTAAATCCCAGGCCTCACTATGTTATAGCATGTGACTGTGGGCACATTACTTAACATCTTTTTATCTGTTTTATCATCTTTAAATTGGGAACAATAACAGTACCTACCTCAAAGGAATGTTGTGAAAAATAAGTTAATATCCTTAAAGTATTTAAAACTATTCCTAGAACATAGTGATTGCTATTTATTATGAAAAGAAATCTATTAAACTTTATTGAAACCAATATTTATTAATACTATATTTCTTCTCCCAAAACTCTGTTCACAATTAATATTTGTAGCACTAAGTGTTTTATGGGGAACACTCTAAGAAACACAGAAATATCTTGAAAATAATTATTCTAACTTCTTTTAAGATCTCATTTGTGATTTATGTAATAACATTTCTGTCAACTCCAAATGAAATGACAATAACAAAGTTAAATTCTTGTATTTTCTTTATTATCACATATATTGTTGACAGCCAACTATAAAATTCTATGAAAGATTCTTCTGAAATATGAATACTTTCTAAAATTTAATCTTTTCTGTTAGGTATGGTCCAGTCATTCTTTAAATCCACAACAGGAACATGGTGCAACTTTCTTTCCCTTTGGTGACTGGTCTTTGCTCTCCTTTTATTTTTTTACTTCATATCCAGTTGACAACAAAATTTTCTATACCAGTAAGTCTCTGAGTATGTGTTTGTTTGTTTTCAATCCTCACACGAGGACATTTTTTCCATTAATTTCTAGAGAAAGTGAAAGGGAGGGAGGAGGTGGAAGGGGGGAGGAGAGAGAAAGAGAGAGATAGAGAAAGAGAGAGAGACAGACAGACAGACATTGACATGAGAGAGACATATTGATTGCCCCCGTGAGGCTGGGGAACCTGCAACCCAGGTACCTACCCCTGACAGGAATCAAACCCACAACCCTTCCATCCTTGGGACAATGCTCTAATCACTGAGAAAACTGGCCAGGGCTCTGATTGTTTTTTAAAAATTATTTTAATTGAATTATTATTATGTAAATACTTATACGTGTAGACAACATAAATTATAAGTTTTTATTTTAAATTATCAATCATGAGGGGTAAAATTTTAATGGACTGAGTCTCCTATTGAGATGGATGCTTCAGAGGATCTTCTGAGCCCTACTTCATAACAATGCAAGAGAGTACTATGGGTGAGAGGAATGCCTTTCCTTTGTCAGGCTAATGCAGGCAAAGGGCTCTTTGTGAAAGGGGATGTGTGAAACAGAATCTAGAACACAGGTACCCACCCAAACAGTTTTAGGAGTATGGATGTAAGAAGGTGGAGGATCTGGAAATTGACTCCTTTAAAATTATTTCCAACTATATACTTCTTAAAAGTCTTTGCAGATCTCTCACAGCCATGTGAAGACCACTGTTGTATATCACTACAGTTAACCAGTTACATTCCTTACAGTGTCACTGCATATCTGTACAAGCAATAAGGGAAACCTCTTATACAAGCAATAAGTAAAACCAAAACTTATTATATCTATCCTTAGTTATAGGAGTTCTGTTCAGCTAGTCTTCAGGTGGTTCTCCAGGTAGATTGCTCGATAATTTAGTTGTCATTTTGATGTGATCCTGGAAGGAGGTGAGCATCTCGCCATCTTGACTGGAATCCTCCACAATCAAAAACTAAAACTTTTAACAAGTCAGAATACTTATTTAAAAAATAAAATGCCAACACAGTGATATTACCAAAATAAATACTACTGTACTTAACATGTACCACTTTGCATTTATAATTATCTTCCACATGCGTTATCTCATTTACATCTTCCCATCGTCCTATGAAGTAGATGTTGCCTCCATTCCACCTGTTTTCACAGTGAGGAAATTGAGGCTCTGAGAAGTGACTTGTTTACAGAAGGTGGAATTAAGATCTTTTCACTCCTAGTGTATTTTTTTTCAACACCATTTTTTTCTTTTTTTAATTGATTTCGGAAAGGAAGGGAGTGGGAGAGAGAGATGGAAACATCAATGATGAGAGAGAACCATTAACTGGCTGCCTCCTGCCTGCCCCACACTGGGGATCAAGCCCACAACCCGGGCATGTGTCCTGACCAGTAATCGAACTATGACCTCCTGGTTTATAGGTCGACACTCAACCACTGAGCAACCTGGCTGGGAGTATTCTTGATTCAGAGAGTATTCTTGATTCAGAGAGTATTCTTGAGTCTTTACTGTCCATGAGGCAAAACTTTGGATTGTAGTCTGAATCTTTCTGTTAACCCTGCTGCCATTGTCATATTCGTTGGGTAATCTATTTTGTGTTAAGCACTACCTCTATGCTCTTAGGCACTCTCAGGCCTTGCAGATAATCTGTCAAATAATCCATGGATTCTGTCATCAAGGAGTTCACTCACAGTAGAGAAAAGAGTTATGCATATTAAAAAGGTAACTATTGGACATCACTGGAGAATCAAAATAGTACCAATACTCTTTCTCAGGAGAATAGTAAGCAGTACTTGGACGTAGTCCAACAGTCTTATCACAGCAATAAGCTCCCATTATTTGGCATGAGGCCCATGCTTTCTGGGCCTAGTAATCAAGGGACTCTAATGAGTAAGAGAATTCTTATAGAAAATTCATAATATACAGTGGCAACATAGAGAGGAATCATGTATTGTAAAATTTACCTTTGAAAATTCCTTACATGGTTTTCAGTATATAACCCAGAGCAGTGACTGATATATGTAAAGTGTTCAAGTGTATATTAATTGCCTGTATGCAGTATGAGATACATATATAAAAATTTTAACAATGATTTTAATTATATTATTGAATTTTTATAGGACTCAACTCCCTATCCTTTGGCCATGTGATATCCACCATGTATAGTAGATAGTTTTATGGTATGGAATTAGAGAGAGCTTGTGTTTTGGAGTATTTTGTTTGCTTTCTTTTTTTAGACAGAAACTTGAGCATTTTCATATGATAAGTGTAAAGACTCAGTGAGTAAAGAGAAGTGGAAAATACAAAGCAGGAGGCAGAAAAAGATGGCCTCCAGGGGACCTTAGGAATTTTCTGACAGAAAACAATTATATTAACTGGATTCAACCTTTGGATCGTTTACTTAACATATGTGCTTTAGTTTCACCATCTCTAAAATGGGGATAATACTTTGACCTACCACACGGGGTCGTTTTAAGGATTAAATTAGTAAATACAGCAAAGAGACCCTGACACATACTAAACATGAAATAAATGTTCGCTGTTGTTTGTTTTGTTTACATTGCACTTTTTCTTATATATTTGATCAGTGGTTCTTTATATATTTTAAATTATACTTTCTTATTTGTATAGTTAAGCTTGCCTATTCTTTTGTCCACTTGATTAATAAATAGATCTACTTACAGTAGTAATGTATTGTCCTATTATAGTCTAACTAGATGTTGTTGGTTCTGTAAAACATCTTAAAAGTCTTTCTAAGATGTTATATTAAATGACATCTTTTTCTAGCCACATAGTTAATCAACTCAATATTCTGTGATACATAAGATGTACATATCTATTATATATATGATATCTGTTATACACCAAAAAAAATGTAAATATGTGTAGGATTTGAGAATTACATGAAAACTTATAAAATATATAATTTCTGCTTTCTGGAACCTATACCTATTTAAATGACTATTATTTCAAAGTAGTCTTTTGAGCATGGAAGTAAATAAAAATGGTCCTCTAAACAATAGTATAGCAATATAGGCAGGAATGAAGGGGACAGGCTTCAGTCTTACCGTGGAAGTAACTATGATGATCAGGACCTGAGGTAATAATAAGTGGAATTGAGGTGGCTGTCTAGAACCAGAGCCGAAGTAATATATTTAAGGTGTATTTCAATGGAAGAATTGATAGAACTTCATGTTTAATTGATCATAGGGATTAATATACTGTCAAATGTAAATGAGCTTTTATTCATTGTTTTTGATATATGGATGTGGTTAATTTTTTATTCCCTTGATTTTTACATTATTCCTAAACTACAACCAAATTTGTGAGATATAATAGTCTAGCGTTAAATTTATTAAATTTTAAACCATCTCATGATATTTTGTTTAAACCTTAATGAAAATCAGCAGGGCATAAGTGAGATCAAGTCAGACCCAACTCAGTGTTTTGGTGCTTGATCAATGGCTAGCACTGAAGATTTCTTTGCATAGCGATTGAATTATCACCACTGTTAGCAGATGGTGCAATGAAATGCGCACTGTAATGTTGAGCCCATAAAATTAAAATGTGTTTTGTAGCACAGTGGAAAATTTTGAAAGGCCTATAGTTCCCTTTAAAATTGAGACTTTTTAATACTATAAATTTACATCTTTCTCATAGTATTGTCTTCATAATGTTGTCTTTCACTGGTGTATGTTGAAGGCATTCTCAAAAGGGAATCTCAAATACTGTGTAATATGTAAGTTTAAAATGTTCACAATAATATTACTACATTTTTATCACATCTGGATCTTGTGCCATATACACAGAAGATATTTTTAAATATTTTGTGATTCAATTTTGTTTTGCAGTGATCGATATGTTGGTAAAATTTATTCCAAATCCTCTTCCTTTCTGGATTATGTCAGAAAGTCTCTAAAGAAGCTTGGATTAGATGAGTCCAAGGTCAGTATATGATTACCCATTGTTTTCATAAAAACCAGAGAATTTCTATGGGGTAATGAATTGAGATAATACAAAATCATTTGCCTTCTATTTTTCTCTTATTTAGTGAAAACGTTCTAAATTATATTGGAACCAAACCTCCATTACCTTTATTTCAGTTTACCTTTCCTGTCACTGTGGATAGTTTGCAATCCTACACCTTCAGAGATTCCCCTTTTAGGTTTATTCAAGGAAAAACATGCCAATTCTCAAATCAAAATGAGAATTGTAAGTAAAGCAAGAGACAATGGCTTTAATTTTGAACTGCTTATATTTAAGGATTATATAGCTAATTACAACTAAAAATCTTAAATTCAAAAAGCCTTTAGTCTAAGCTAATAATTGAGAACATATTGTTGAAGACAAAGAGTTAAGCCAATTGACTACTAGTAATAAATATTCTAACACAGAAAAAAATTCTCAATGTGATTTAAATGATTTATCTAAAATATTAAGTTTATATTTAAACTTATATTAAGTTTAGCTTAGGATCGCTCTGGTATTTTGATTGATTATAAGTTGAAATAAAGAATAAAATATGGTTAGAGGAATGAACTATGTTTCTTGAAAGATAAAATTTATACAGATATAGTTATTTCAAAGCTAAAGGTTATTTTTAGTTATTATAACAACTGGAGGCCCGGTGCACAAAAATTTGTGCACTCGGGGGGGGGGTCCCTCAGATTGGCCTGTGTCCTCTCGCAGTCTGGAACCCCTTGGATGTCCACCTGCTGGCTTAGGCCTGCTCCCCAGGGGATCGGGCCTAAGCTGGCAGTCAGATATCCCTCTGGCAGCCCGGAAGCCCTCAGGGGATGTCCACTTGCCAGCGGGGAGCAGGCCTAAGCTGCAGTCGGACATCCTTAGTGCTGCTGAGGAGGCGGGAGAGGGTCCTGCCACCACCGCTGTGCTGGCAGCCATCAGCCTGGCTTGTAGCTGAGCAGAGCTCCCCCTGTGGGAGCGCACTGACCACCAGGGGGCATCTCCTGCATTGAGCATCTGCCCCCTGGTGGTCAGTGTGTGTCATAGTGACCAGTCATTCCCAGTCATTTTGCTGTTAGGGTCAATTTGCATGTTACCCTTTTATTATATAGGATTATCCATTTACTCTCCAGTTGCTTTATTACTTAAAGTAAGCAGACTGGTACAAAACAGTTTCCTCCCCCTATAAAATTACTATTTAAAAAAGCATTTCTAACTCATAGGATTTAAGAAAGATTAAATGAGGTAATATACATAAAAGACTGAGTGAACACAATGTTTGTTCATAGTAAATGCTAACTAAATAGTACTAGTTTTTATTCTGATCTTTGTATATTTACTACTTATCATGGCACCATTAATATGACTCCTATAAGTATTTTTATTAAGTCACCAAAATGAAGATCCTTCTAGTCTTGAATAAATTAACAAGAATAGACATTTTTATTATAGTTAATTTATTTCTAGGTTTTGTAAAATATATTTTTAATCAGATTGATCTTCCTTCCAATTAGTATAAATTAGTGCATATCTTTATTGGTGTCTCAATTTCATGTCTTGCATTTAATATCAAGATCACAAACCTACACATTATTTTCACAAATAAAGAGCTAAATTTTTATTTAAACTAAAAATATATTATCCTTTGCCAAAAACCAAACAGTAAAAATCCAGAAAGAATGTTACTTATCCTTTCAGATGGCTTTCTCTTCCCAGATTTATCTTTAAAAATAATCCTGGTAAATGTTCCTTAATATGTTTATTTTGTTACTGTTAAGAATATTTATAATAGTTCATATTTACTAAGTACTTACTATGTGATAGTTATGCTAAGGACATTTCAACTTTAACTCATTTATTCTTCACAAAACATTTAGAATCGATACTATTATATTTCCCAATGCAATGATCTAGAAAGAAAGGCTCAGAAAAAGGCAAATCGGTTTCCCAGGGGCAAAGAGCTGGCAAGTGGTAGAGCTGGAACTTAAACACAGATTCAACATCGAAACTTCGACATTAACCACTACACTACTGAGAAGTGAAATTGGAAACAAAAGTGAGAGAGACTAATGTAGATGAGTGTCACCATGTAAAATTAGTCTTAAATGATTAACTTTATTAGTTAATAAAGACAAAAATAGTGCCTCACTATTTTTTTCATTATACTATTGAAACTCGTTGAAAACAAATATGTTGAATAAAATTGGTTAGAAAAAGAAAAGCAACAGGAAAGTATAGAACAATATAAGGTGTTTAAAAGGATGTGCTGATGAGAGGACGTAAATAACTGAGTTTATGTAATTTGGGCTCTGTTTTTTTGGGTATTTGGGGGGTTTGGGGTTTTTTTTTGGCCTGTTTTCATTTTAAGCAACAGGAATTAAGAGACTATTCCCATCAGGCCAGAGTGGATGGGAATAGAATAAGTAATTAAAACTAGACTTATATTTCCAATCCAATACAAAATCCTATTTTTCCCCCACATTATGAAGTATCAGTGTTAAAACGAAAGTTTTAACCACAAGCACAATAAAGAAGACACTTGTATATACGTATAGTTTTATTTTTTAAATAAAATTAATTTTCTAAAAAAAATTAATTTTCACCTGGGATTCTGACTACTAAAAAGTATCAAAACCACTTAACTTTAAAATAGTAATTATGCCAAAATATTTAAAAGATCTTTGACTAAATTTATAATCATTTGTTAACAAACTGTGTAATTGAAAGTGTGGTGATTCATTGATGTGTTTCTGAACTTTTAAAGTACAGTACATTTCTTCATATTTAAAACATGTAAGCAAATGAAGTTCCTAGAAAACATCCTAACATGATCTGAATACATTTTTAGTCTCAAGAAATCATGTTAAAAGTGGAAGTACACAGAGAACTTTCACAGACAAATCATCATTCCAGAGACCAGAGTTGCCTGTGCTGGGTACAAAAGTGGCTCTCAACAGCTTAAAAGATTAAGTTCTGTAGTCAGTTGTGAAAGACAGCTTTGGACATTTTCTCTTAGAACAGGATTTCTGAATCTCAGGAGTACTGACATTTGGATAATCCTTTGTTGTGGGGGGTGCCCTGTGCATTGTAGGATGTTTACCCACTAGATGTCAGTAGTAGCATCCTAGTGCTAATAATCCAAAAAAAATAATAATAATAATAATAATTAATTTTTAAAAAAGCCTCCAGACATTGCCAAAAATGCCCCTAAGGGGCAAAATCAGCTCAGTTGAGATCCATGTTTGAGCATTTGTCATCTGGGTAATTCCATTTGCAATCATCTAACAGCTCCATTATAAACTCCATGTTTTAAAAAAAAAATGCCATGTTACACCAAGAAGCTTGGAGAGGCGAAGGGGGGAATAAGCAGTGATTTTGAAGACTTTTTATTCAAAATTATACCCTCCTGGATCTTTATTTATAGCCCTAACTACCTAAGGATGATATTATTTCAGCCCCACATAATATATAAGCCTATTTAAGAAAAGAGTTTAGATTTACACTAAAGGTAAGCCCAACTCTATACTACTGAAAACAAATTGTGGCAGAAAACCAACTCTTTATATCAGCAGGTATACTGTTTATTAGATGGACTTCTTAAAATGAAATGTTACAGTAAAATTCTTGTAAAGTTCAGTTATCATTTTAAAACATTTTAATAGAACTTTAAAAATGTTTAAAATAACAAGATCCTAGTGACAGACTTTATCTAGACCTAAAAAAAAAAAAAAAAATAGTCACTCTCTATCTTCTGTCCCAAACTTTATCTCATCAAATTTCAGAAAACCTCCAAAATCATCTTTAAGGATTTATGTTTTCCTCATGATCCATAGCACTTTATCTTCTTTTGTATTACTTTTCTGTCTTTCTGTCTCCTTCCCCATGTGCAAGAGCGTGCAAGCGCGCGCACACACACACACACACAGGATTTTAAAAGCATCAGAACAAGTATTGTTTGCTAAACAAAAAATGAACTATAGTATTGTCCATAAGAAGAGGGGAATAAAAGGTGCCTATGTTCTAGAGCTTGCGTGTGTGTGTGTGTGAGAGAGAGAGAGAGAGAGAGAGAGAGAGAGAGAGAGATACACATGTAACAAATACTCAAATAAATGAAGAAGTAATTTCAAGTATTGAATTGATGGAAGGGGGTTATGCTGTTGAATGGACAAAGTTGAAACCCACCAAGCTAGAACTTTAGTGGAACTTTAGAGGATAATTTAAAAAAAATCTTCAGATATTTTTCCAAAGCAGGTCAGCAAAAGTAAAACTTTTGAGACCGAAATCATTTAATTATTCATCAACAAACATTTATTTTGAAGAATCATATGCCAAGGAGAATGAAAACTGGAACTACAAAGATAATTATTAAGACCTAACCCCTGAAAAAAGAAAATGAATAATTGTAGCATGAACTTGAAGTAAAGTACAGTGGAGGCATAGGAGAAAGGAGTGACTTACTCTACCTGTGAAGATTTTACAAACAACTTTGGTGCCTTAGCTTGGTCTTGAAGGATGCATAGGAGTTGGCTTAGCAAACAAGGTGGGATGGTTGGGAGTAAGAAATTCATTTCAGGTGTGAGGGGAGGGGAAGGACTTCTGCAAAACCACAGAGATGTGAAAAACATGCTTCTGGACTCAGCGTTGCTGGAGCATAAAGCACATAAGGGAGGCAGTGGTGAGAGATAAGGTTAAAGATAGGGCACATGTGGAGGCCAACTAAACTGATCTTTGGAAGTTAAATCAGAGGTTGATCAGGACTAATCATAGTAGTTTAAATGCAGGTGGGAGGGCAGGAATCGTTCCACAGTTGGCCAACCACAGATGTAAGGAGCTCATAAACTTTTTCTTGTGGTAATGTATTCTGTAATGATCTAGATCGAATGTAACCCTCTAACCCTAAGGAAACAGTGGATTCCTGATACAGATTAAATTTATGGAAAACCTGTCATCTTTGTTAATATGAGAAAAACATGTGCATTATT